TCACGTTCCTCGAACCGTACTTGGTCCCTTTTAACGCGTCGTTAAATGGTTGATAAGGTCTCCCGTCGCTCTCGTTCGTATTCCATTCCCGTAGCAGCCGTCCCCCCGGTTTCGATCTATCGACGGGTGACCTACGCCTTCCCGATCTACGGAATCGTCGGATCCCGTCGCTGACCAACATTTTTACGCGTAGGCGTCACGGCTAGCACGTATTTTTCCCGAGCAGCGTCTACGGATCGGTTCAGGGATGTCTCGACATCGCGGCGTTATCGATTACTTTCAATCTCGCGGGATACGAAAAACGCCGGTGTATTACGGTAAATCGATATCGACGTCGTTTCGATGACGGAGCGCCCCGTACTCGCAGAGAGAGTCGATAGAAAGCGTCGTTGAAACGTTCATCTCTAAAGGACAGGTTGCCTACCGCCGTGGATTCGAATCGAAACGAACCTCTTCCCGTATTATTCTTCTTCTCTGTATCCTCCTGTACCCCGGAGCAACACTTTGTTTAATGCAACTCGCTCGCGCTCGGTCTCTCGTTCCCGATAAAAATAGACGCTACGTTCCTTCCTCGGACATTGTGTCAAGTAATCTGATCGGAATACGAACGCAGCTTGGATAATTGCGATTACTACCATCTGGCCGAAAGACCTTCCTCGTCCTACGGAAACCGCGCGCGAGTTATCACGCTCCGATAATTAAGGGGGCATTTTCATTTCAAACGTCGTCTTGGAACGATAAAAACTCCTTTAATATCATTGCAATATTATTAAATTCTGTCGTCGTTAAAAAAGATAATATACGACCTAGAATTATTCTATAGTCTAGCTCCCCGTTTCTATACAAAGTTTTACAAAATCTGTATTCTCGACGGTCTGAAATTCGAAGAGTCGAATAGAATGTTCGTTTCCAAGTCCAACCGTAACAAAGACGCAGGCTCGTTACGGTCGCGTGGATCGGCCTCACGGCGCGTTTCTCGATCGTCCCGAGCGTTTCGCGAAAGTTTACGAAATCGAGCTTGTACATTTATTTTTCGCGCGAAAGCGTTCGTGCGTTGTGCCCTTCGCGCATCCGTCCGCGGCCGCAGAAAGATTTCGTTTGCGGTTCGTTTCGTGGAAAAAAAAGTCCTTCTTCGGGGGGAGGGGAATCGCGGCCGCCGCGAAGGCAAAGGTCGACGCTGGTTTATGCAAAGTCCGCCCCGGTAGCGATGCAAATTTTATTAGTCTCGCGTTTTATCATCCGCATCTACGCGGAAGAAAAACGAACATGGAAGGCAAAACCGGAGAAAACTGTTTCTGGAAGATTTCAGAGTCGGGTTCCCTGGAAACGCGGTCTACGATGGTAGCAAGAAGGGAGAGAGGGCACGGTCGTGGGGAGAGTGGGAGGGGGAGGAAGAGAGAAGTCGTTTCCGCTTACGTTTTTCCCGGAGAAAGAGCTGGTTGGTCGTCTCGAGGACGGTACGACGAAAGGAAAAAGTCCGGGAAGAGTCGAGGAAGAACGTCGATAACGTTGGAAAAACGTAAAACGCGCACCGGCCAGGAGGAGAAGGAAACGCGCGTAGTATAGGGAGTGGAAGAGAGGAGAGAGAGAGAGAAAGATAGCTAGAGGAAGAGAGAGAGGGTAACACACAGCTTCCCATCGAGCGAGAGAAGGGCGTAGCGGCGATGAGTGGAGAGGAAAGAGGAGGATGAGATCACGGGAGAGGAGAAAAAGAGAGAAGGGTGGCCGGAGACCGTGGAAGAAAAGGGGGCCACGAGAAAATAGCGTCTTCGTCGTAGGGAGGGAACGAGGGAACGAGTAAATGGAGCCAACGCGCGGAGAAAGAGGGAACGGGAGGACGCGGAGGGTCGAGAAAGAAACGATGAAACGACCGAGGGACAAAGAGGGCGGGAGAAAAGAAAAGAAGGAGATGGAACGAGAACGATACCGGGGGTAGATGAAGGGGGGAGGCGGGGCGGGGGGGGGGGGCGAGCTCGTCTACTCCGCGAATGGCAGAGAGACAGACGGGAAAAAGAAAGAGGATGGGATCCGAGGGAGGCGAGGTGAAATTGGACACAAAAAGCTCGAAGAAAAATTGAGATGAATCGTGGAAGGGTGGGCGGGGAAGGGAGGATTCTCTGAAAGGGAGAGACCAACGCAGTGTCCTTCTTCGAGGCCGCGAAAGAAAGCGCGAACTCGCCTTTCGAGGGATGAGCGACGTGTTCCTTGATACGAGATTTCTTGCCGATTTCCAAACGCAACCGACGATTATCCTGGTCTCGTTACCGATTCGACGCCTCCGCGAACGTGTAAGTGAACGTCGTCGCCGGATCGAAACGTTGTTTCGTTATTGGGTCATCCGGAAAACTCGTAGCGTTTTTCAACGGTTGACGGGTATTGACCAGGGGTTAAAAACAGTTACAGCTGCTCCAAAAATATTCCAACGACGATGAAACGTGACTGTACTCGGTGATCTATCTCCTATTCTCTATCTCTATTCTCGTATAAGGGATGTTCCTAAATATCACACGCTGATTTTAACGAAACTTCTTCAACGAAGGACCAAAAAATGTGTTCACCCATGTTCGGTGGTTTGCGTCAACGCGCAATAATTCACGAGATGTTTAACAATAAAGATCGTAAACGTCCCTCGGTGCGTTAATCGTGGTCGATTAAACTTTTCGTTCAAATTAGATCGTAGCCTGCGCAGACTCGGCGATCGTGCGATCCAGGTTGCGTTTGGGTTAAATTGTTTTTAATTGTAAAAATACCTTCTTCATACGTCATCGGCTGATATCTTGCAGTTATACCTCGTTTGGATCTATGGTGGCTGCACTGTATCAGGTCATTACATACCCTCGTACGTCATTCGTTCCCTCTGGTACGCCTATTTTCGCATCCACGGCTGCTCGTTTAGCGTCACGCGCTCCAAAGTAGTTTACAGACGTCCCGGCTCTTTCACGGTCAACTTTTTTCCAAACGTTTACACATATTTCACGCGCTTTTACCTCCGTTCGTCGAATTCGTGGATTCCTTTGCGAGCGGACGGTTGCTTTGCTCGTCGCTATCAGTGAAAGTACCTGAGAAAATAGTTAACGGATCTCTACACTGCGTTCCAAAGTTGCAATTCGATAAATAAGACCATTCCAATCAGATCCAGCAAATCAACGCTCACTCTACCTTTGTTATTGATCTCTTTGATAAAGTGTTTCCGATAAACTGTGTAAAAGAAAAGAACTTGAAACTCATCGAACGCAAAGACGGATAGTTAAACTTTGAACGATCCTGTACGCGAGTCGAGAGAAACCGTGTAAAACCGTCGAGATTAGTGTACTCGCGCACGCGCGAAAGATCGACCGTCGAGAAAGCGTATCGATCGATTCGATCTGGTCGACGATAGCGGCAGAATCGATCATCGTGATTCGACGGTTCGCGTTTCATTTGCGCTCAAGACCGCGGAGCTCTCTGATGTATCGACAGCGGTATCCCGCCACCAAGAATCACTATACCAACCGACTCGAGAGCAACAAAATTCTTATCTAGATAAACATTTTCAAATAACAAGCAACAGATAAACAGTTTCTCATCCGCAATTGACTCGATAACAGATATTAAGTAACTCCATACATCGTGTGGTATAAAATAATATTTATTTTTCTCTCGAGTTTAAAAATATATGAAAATCGATCGGTGCAGGATCTGGAGAGATAAGTGTTCCCGATTGTTTTAATTTTTATTTGTAATAATCGAACTCTGTTGAATCATGGCGTCGTTTTCGCGCGTAAGGAAACCGATCGGTCGATTATCGTCGATTCGTCGCCGTTCCACGGCTCGTTATCGGCCATTATCAGCTCGTCTGAAAACGATGTGCCGGTCAACCCGATTTCTAGATATCGATGCACGTACTCGGTACGCGAACGTATACTGTATCGGTTAGGCGTTCGTCTGGTCGGGAAAGTACGCGCGCGTAAAACACGGTTAACGAATTGCAGGCAAAAACGGATAGGTAAGTGCACCAGGTGCGCTCGCGAACACGCACGGTCAATTCGAGCCTTCTCGACGATGCACGGGGCCACGCGTGGACGATCGTGTCACCTGTACAACGTTTACACCGTTCGATGCTCGTTAATCGATCGAATCGATTTTTCTGCTCGCCCCCCCGATTAGCATAATACGTGGACGATTCCGCGACCGTTTGGCCCTTACGGAGGAGAAACGCAAAAAGAGGGACGCGAGAAGCGAAACGAGACGAGACGAGGGCTTAAAGTTTTCACGTTATCGGAGCACGTCTAAGCAACTGATAAAAGTCCGTGTTCCTACGGATAGATAACGCGGAATGGCTCGTATAAAGAGTCACATAGATAGAGGCAGATAAAGCACGGTCCACGGAACAGGTGAATGTTACGGGACAGACCAACGCCCGAACTTCTTCGTTTGCTTTTCTGGTGTCGATTCGCGCCGATACGTTCCTACGGCCTGTGAACTCGCGGGGAAACCTCGAACCCGTTTCCCGGTTTCGCGGTATTATTCTTCCTCTTTGGTTTCTCCTTTCGTGGGACTGCTCGCGCGCCTTATCGCGAACTTCAAGGAAACTTGGTGCCGTCGAAAGTGTTTACCGATTCGCGCGAAAAACATCGTACCGCCGATTTCCAGGCATCGCGACACCCGGGCCCGGTTCTTCGTGATCGCGTGAAACGCCTCCGTCTCGCGCGTTTCGTCCGCGACCGCGTAGAAAGCAACGCCGATATCTTCCCGTAACCGTGACGGATACGAAAACTAAAGAATATTTCATGGAGACAGATCGTTATTGGGGCGTGCACTACAGGTACTGTTCCGCTTTGCGGATCGATCTCGAAGAAGGAAGAAGGGCACCGAGAAACGGTGTTTCCGTGTGCGTGCGTTGGGCGGATAGGGGGTCGCGGGGGCGAAGCCGTCGATGACTTTTTCGACGGATCTACGGGGAACGGAGATTGATAGAAAACGAGAACTGAACGAACGTTTCCATCGTGTTTCTGTTGCAGCGGCGGCATGGCCGGGCAGCATTACTGCCTGCGCTGGAACAACTACCAGTCGAACATGACGTCCGTTTTCCACCAGCTCCTGCAGACGGAAGCATTCGTGGACGTCACCCTGGCATGCAACGAAGCTTCCCTGAAGGCGCACAAGGTACGTCGAGCGCCAAGATAGCGCGATACCAACGCCGCGACCATTTTCTTAACTCGCCAACTCGAAAAACAAACGTCGAAGAACGCTAAATTAATTTAGGAAAAATCTGCAATCCTTGATTAAATTTTTAATTCAAAGGGAAAATTTAGCGTCGCTTAACCATTCTACGACCTGGCGCGCTTTCGGTCCACTCGTTGCCGCGTTATTTTGGGCATATATTTCGCCAATGCACTTATTGCTCGCTCGATGTACCGTTTCTTTTGCGCAGGTGGTATTGTCGGCGTGCAGTTCCTACTTTCAGAAGCTTTTGCTCTCGAATCCCTGCAAGCATCCGACCATCATCATGCCGCAGGACGTTTGCTTCAACGACCTGAAATTCATCATAGAGTTTGTCTACAGGGGTGAAATCGACGTCTCGCAAGCAGAACTTCAGGTAATTTAAACGTTTTTAATTCCACGAGCATAGACGTATGAATATAAAACAGAAAATTGTCGATCTTTGGACTACTGTAACTTCGTGAAACGAAGTCGTACAATAATCTTTCCTGGGACTGTTCGAAAGGCTGGACCCTTTACTTTCACGCGTCTATGTTTAATTTCCTCGAAGATTCTTTTACGCCGAGCAGCGAGTAAGAAAGCGAAGCGGTTGTCGCTGTGAAAAGGTCCCAAAGTTTGAAGGAATGTTTTCCAACGTCTTGGATGTGTTAACAATTTGAAAAACATTATGTCGAACAAGACTTTCACTGTTAGGAAAATAATAATAATATTTGAAACTTATGACGGTCGTGAATGTACCGCAAAAGCCCCGGAACCGTGTGGTCGCGATTACCAAATCGAGAAGCAACGATACGGTTTCGTACGCGATAACGTGATCGCGTTACCATTCCTCGCATCGTCGAAGAATGCGTGCGATTAACGTGCGTTTACCAAGTGAAACGAATAGAGACGCAACGGGACGACAAGACGATCGAGACTTTCTCTTTGTTGCGCATTATTTCGTGTTCGTTCGCAACGAACGCGAACGGATATCTTCGTTAACCCTTTTATCGACGGTAGAGAGGAATTAATCGTTTACCCGACCGTACCCCGTTTGCGATTCTGCACATCCGGTGGAAGTTAACTTCCTCCTCTTCCTCCAGATGTCTATTTTACCGACCGACAGGGTTTATATCCCTGCAGTTTCCTTCCCTATTCGTTGTCGGTAAAGCAAATTCGTGGAATTCCAAGATGGCGCCACCCACCCTTGCTGGCACGACGGACACAGATCTCGTTTCGACAGTTTTGGCGCGCAATCCTCCCTTTCCTTCTCGTTTTCCCCCTCCTTGTTCTCGATTCCCTTCGGTACTCGCTATAAATAACGGTGCACTCGCGGCTAAAGGAGTCGTGTGCGTTTCAAATGTCCACTTTCCCTTTCGCGCACTTTAATTTTCTCTCAATCACGATACCACGGTTCGCCGAAAGTCTTTATTTAGTTAATGGCCTCGAACGTGCGCGCGCTTGCACGCGTTTCTAACCTAGTTTGCATTACCATAAACTCGAGCGAGCCCCTAGTCGAGAACAAAGCGACCTTTACGCATCTTTTCTAACGAATAAAACACGCGAAACAATAGATTACTTTGTGGCCAATTTCACGGAGTACTTAGAAATGCTTTGGTACGTATGTATGTACGTTACTCGTAGTTTTCTATCGTAGAACAGGTTGACCGGCTATTTGAACTGTTCAACGCCGGGCGACGAACTTATACTGTGTACGAGTACGAGCCAAATTTAACTATTAATCGGAGAATAAGTGTCTTCGTATCAGAAATTTGGTACAAGATGACCCCAAAGTATGATTTTGAATATACCAGATCATTAATCTTCTCCAAACATTTTAATCATTTTACACCTGACTAGTTTTCCATTCTGTTCTTGTAGATTCACTGTTTTTGGTTTTAGAGTTTTTATTTCGTCAAATGCCAACAACCAGGTGTGAGAAAGCATCGTCAATTCGTAGGTTATGTCTCCCGACTACGGAACGACTCGAACGATCAGCTCACGTGCAGGGACGATGATACGCATAAGTCATTTTTTTTTTATTCACGCAGACTCTGCTCGCTTAAAATTGGTTGCAATTCGATACAATAATTTCGTTCACCGTTGCAATCGTTCTTTCGATGAACGAAAGCTACGGGACGATCGGTTCGGGCGTTTTCAATGGCGTAACCGGGTACGACTTTTCGATCTAACAGTATTCAGCGTCGAGAGTGCATATGTTTTACAAAATCATGAATGGACAGTGCCATTATTATGTTCTTCACTTTCGCGAGATCAATAAGACAGTCTTCAAACCCCGTCTCGTTAGATTCCATTGTCCGACAATCAAGCTGCTACTACTACATACCATACCTACCCGATGCAGTGGCACTCAACCATTATCGGTTTAACTATCGATTCCACGTATCTGTATAATTTGCAAACTCGTTTCAGTCGCTACGAAATGAGCGTACAGATTAACACATTGTCGACCGTTCGAACGGTGCTCGACGAACCACAGAAATTATTTCATTCGGTACTTTTTTAAACCATGGATATATTCGAGACAGTCGTAAACCAAACTTCCATACTAATTGGTTCCAGGATAGTCGACGTAGGTCGGGGTAAACATAATGCACACGTGTATATATAGATATGTAGAGAGTGTTTCAAAGAAAGGATTCAGGATTCGGAAAATCTTGTGTGCATTTAAACACACACAAAGTTTACAAGCGTAGCGTAATCTATTTCTCGTTCTACAACGAACTGCAGAACATGTTCGTTCGTTCGTGTATACATACATGTAACGACTATTCGAACTAGTCGATCGTATATTTACGACCTACCGTGTGTCAACGTCTTTTGACCCTCTGGCACGAAAATATGCCAGCGAGAACCGCTCGCAAACGATGCTTCGAGTTTCGTTATTTTGCCATTTTTTACCTCCCTTTTACCCCGCTCCGTGAAGCAAAACGTGTTGGCACGCAACGATGCTCACGCCCCTGATTGGTGCTCTTCGTTCAGAGTTTCCTATCTCACTGCCAACATTCGCTTCGGACATAATTCTCGGCTGGCCGAAAGTAAACTTACAAACCAATTTCTTTTCAAAGATATTCTTTTAATCCGACGACGATTTCTAACTATCGCGTTTATCTTTTTCTCGTTTCGTTTCGCCTTAACGGAAAGAGGATAACCTCAAATTCGTCGCGATCTACTATTAACGAACAACACTCGTTCGATCAAAGAATTTAAAAGAAATACTGCATTTTAATGTAACGGGTTTCGATAAAAATATGTGCAGTCGATGTCCGTAAATCTAGTGTTAATATCCGAGAAACGTTCTACGTTCCATTTTCGGAGAAAAGCCAATAGATAGGACCTGACACGCAGTCCTTCGACTCGTTGTCCTTGACATGAGAGGTAAGACGACGACGTACGAAAAAAACACATATCGCTCATGTGCATCGAGCTCGACGTACTTACATATATAGGGTGTCCCGTTTTAATCTTTTCATTATCTTAAAAAATACTCATCGTTCGAAACGGAAGGTGTTCGTGTAAATTTTTGTAAGTCTGCCGAAACGAAAGAGAACATTCTCTAATTCTTACTGAAAATTTCGATACTACTATTTGACCAACCCGATATATCTGTAGCATACCATGAAATAATCAAGTTAACCTTCAAATAAGAATTAAGAAGTACCCATATAATGGGAACGATTGTTCTTCTAGCTTTATTGCAATCAAATCTGTATCTCGAGACACCGTGTATAGCCGTATATTCACGGTCACAACTGCACGTGTACCTTTCCTAACCTAACTGGAACGAAAGCGCAGCAAAAGAATTTTCAAACGTAACAACCGAGCCGTACCAAAATATCGGTAAGGCAGAGAAAGCTTTAAACAAACGCCTACGTGCATACCCTTTATCAAATCGTACACACAGTAATCGGGCAAGAAACATTCAGCATCACGGGGGTAAGGATAGTATGTATTCTCTACTGACCTCGTTCTCGATCGGTATCTCCCTTCTTCGAGTAGTTCGAGAGAGAAATGCGGGCGCATAGAGGGATCAAAAACGAAGGCACGCAAAAAGATGCTTCTCGGTTCTTATCGTTTTTATTGGCTGGTGCTTCGCGTGATTTCACGAGATTTGGTTGTTCGCGAAGACATTCGAGAGACGGATCAACGTATGCAAAACAAAAGTTGCAAAGCTCGACGGGAATACGGCCGGTAAAGGGCAAAATGAAATTTAATTTCGAAACCTGTAGTGCGTGGTACACATTGGCAGTACGTACCAACCGAGTGATAATCAATGCAAATGGCTGTGACTGCTACGAGAGTGTTTGGTTATACATTTTAACTAGAGATCGAATCGATGATTATTACTACAAATGGGTAACTAAACAATGATTAAATTTAATTACGACAATTAATAGGGTACAAACGATATCTGTTTACAGGGCAATGCAATATTAATGAATGAACAATTCGAATTTCCAATGTATTTTCTAGGTTAAGCGTAGTCGAAGAAGTCTTAGCCGCGAAATTACCGCAAGTTCGTAAAGTACGCGTGTCGGACGTTGCTTTCGCGACTGTACCGCTTTCTATGCTTTGGCCAAACCGCGAAGAGAGTCGTTCGTACGCGTGACTAATAATTTTCTTCTGTCCCGGAGCGAGCAAAGAGGTTGGCCGAGCGAGTGGCGGCGTACGAATGTGTAACCAACGTTCTTTGGGTCGTAGGATAGCATTCGTGACCGTGGTCTCTTTATTCTCTTCGATAGATGCGAAGCAGAAGAAAAGCGAGGAAGAGAAGAAGAGAAGGCGGAGGTATAGCGGCAAAGTCGAACGCGGGGAAACAAGAGAATTCGCGCTTCCTCCGTCGACTGTACCCGCGGTTTCTGCAGTGGCGTGCATGCGTGCGCACAGTTGCACGGCGGTCGTGTGTATGCGTGTGCAGGCGTGCACGCGTATGCGTGCGTAGAGAGACGACTGGAGCCGCAGATTCCCTTTGTCCGCGGCGCAAGCTCTGCAATTCGCGACTCGACTCGAGTCTTCTTTCTTCCTCGAACGCGCACGCGGCTCCTTCGTTCGCCTTCTTCTACCGTTTTCCCATCTTCCTCTCTCTTTCGTTTCTTTTCGGCGATTCCGTCCTTCTCCACGGTGCTCGGTCTCCCGAAACCGACCGTACCCTCTTCCCTCGTCGTTGGCGTCTCACCCGTTCGCGAGTTGCGTTGAGTCGCGTCGCGTCGCGTCGCGTCGCGTCGAGTCGAGTCGACGCAGGGCCGGCCCTACGGACCCTCGAACGTTCCTGCATGGGGCCGGTTAACGACAACGGAAAGTGGGGGTAATTCGATCTTTCCCGCGTGTCCGCCGACACTTCTTAACATGCCGATTATTAAACTATCATACTAGATA